ATGAGTCGTGTTGCAGAAAACGCACACAGCCAGCAACTCTCGGCTTCACTCTGTCAGTCATTTATTTGTTGGCAAACAAGTTTCACTGTTACAACAAATATTAGTGAGAGGTCATTCAACCACAGGAGAAGAAAAGGGATATAAGAATAAATAAAATCATATTTGTAATGACAAAAAATCTAATATGTGCCACATTCATTTTACCCCCAGACATTTTTGCAGAATAGTTTGTACTTCTTCCCTCAGTGAAATAAATAACCATTCATTCTCCACCACAAAAATAATAAAAGCAAAAAGAAGGTATGCTGGGATCTCTGCAGCTAAATCACACAAGTGTCACTCTCTCTGAATGAAAACGACCTCCGTTGATCATATACCACGATACTTCTCATATCTCTACTCCAAAATGGCAACATATTTTCAATGTTGGGCTTCCTTTCTTCATTCATCTACAAGCCGGTGTCTATAAATCAAAGAGAATGAGGAAAAATAAGTATTATTTTTTGTCTATACTCTCATTTTTGTTCTACTTGCCATTATTCATCCTGAAATGAAGACGGAAATGTAAAAGATATAATAAAAAAAAGAGCGAGGGATCAAAACCTGTCATTGAGGACGAGACCATCGGGAGAGAAAGGAAATGATCTGAAATCACCATGGTTACAGAAGCGGAGGGCATAGGAACAGAATAAGCACTATCCTGTGTAACACTAGTGTCTGTACATTTACATAGAAATATTGTAGAATTCTCCGGTATTAGTTCTTGCCCTCGCTTCTTGATATTTGTTATTAATACAGCAAAGAACAGAAAGCGTGAGGTGAAGACGCCCTTCTTCGTATTGTTCTCCGTCGCAGCAAAACGTGCTGCTTTTCACCACGTGAGAAGAAGAAAATATTTAAAAAGCAAATATGGATACAGAAGGTATTAAAATAGTTTTCGAGTCACAGACTTGATTGGTATTGACTAGACGCGCTGAGCTACTAACAATGTTTTTTGCCAGTTATTTGTATTCCTTCGGGGTCGCAGAGAGTAAAAAACCCTCGAGATCTCACACTGCCCCGCAAGGTTATACAGCAAATCAATTTTCGGGTCCGTTTTCCCTTGAAGTAGAAGTGCACTACCAATAGAATCCAAAGGATGTCAGGTTTCAGTCCTCAACAAGCAAGACTACCCATAATCCTCTCCTGAACGGAATACAAAATCGCCTCCCAAGGTTTGTTGCTGCAGTTGATTTCTCTGCGGACACGGAAAAAGCAAAAGTGAACGACTGCGGACGACTGAACGGTACGGAAATGTAGAAGAGCCAGCGGAGGTCGAGATGTCATGGGTTACGGGTGTGACTGCGACGGGGTTTGGCGCCCTCTATAGGCTGGTTACCATGTGTGCGGTTTCCTGCGGCGGCGTTTCTTCGGGCGAAAGCTCATCTTTGGGAGGAACGATAAAGCCGTCGCTGCTGCCGCGGCCCAGTTGGTAGTAGCTATGCAGCTGGTGCAGATGGTTGCGTGAGCCCAAGTTGGGCATGCTCTTATAATACACGTCGTCTGGCTCGCCGCTTCTGGGGAGCATGTGCGTGTCACCGCCGCGGGGCAGCGAATGCGTGTCGGAGCGTTCGGGGTCGGGCAGCGTGGGCATGCTGGTGTAGAGCGAGTCTCTCTGCGGCGATGGAGTCTCTTCCGTTTGCTCCTCTGTCAGCAGAGGGAAGAAACTTTCGCTGTTTTCTTGCGGTAGGCGCCGTCGCGATGAAGAAGCCGAGCTGAAGGTGGAGGGAAGAGGCTGGACGTGGCGTGGTGGTGGAAGCAAGGGTGTGTTGGACTCCTCCCTGATCAGCTCCAGCCCTAGACTGTCCTCGTGTGGGAAAGACGCAGAGTCATCCAAACCCAACGCGAGATTGACGGGCAGCATGGGCGAGTCCTTCACCCCGCCTCCGTTGCTGACTTCGTTCACCAGCTTGTTCATGAGGTTGCGTCCGTGCTCGGCCGTGCGGTCGTGGTTGTTCAGGTAGGTGGGCAGGTAGTTGGAGGTGAGCTCTTTCAGGATCCGTTTCTCCAGCGTGGTCTCTTTGTGTACGTTGTACGTGCGGTCGATGATTTGCACGCAGTCGCTCATGTAATCGGCGCTGGCCAAGCTGTAGCTGTTGCCATGGTTACCATTCAGTGGTAGAGTATCCATGGCACTTGTATCCCGAGCATTGTTCAGGATTCCCTCTGCAAATGGAGAGTCAGAGAGAAGAGTAATTACAATCATTTGCGCCTGGCACATCTGTAAGACCGACATGCAAAACGGCTCGCTGAAACAAACCGAAAAACCTTGAAACCATTCGTCTGTCCCTGAGGCGGATATTCATTGAGCTTCCAAACCAATGCTATCTTTGGTATTGATTGGATTCGTCAGGGGTCCAAGGCTGATGTGAGGATTAAAACTCATTCCAGAATTCACTGAAACTTGCCAGCTAAGCCTGTGATAATGGACTTACCTGTCAAACTCATCTTTTGTTTATAAATTTGCAACCTTGATTGTCCTCATCTCACATATCAAATAACACACAAATCACTCTGCAAAGCCGGCAAACACAACAGAAACACAATGCACGAACACAAACACACAACAATACACGACAGCTAATGCACGAAAAGCTTTCGTCAAACCAAATCATGCTGGCCTTTATATAACACTCATGTATCATTAGGTACAGAGAGAGCAGCTTCTCCGCCTATAGGTTTCTCTACGTTAATTAAATTTTGCATATTATCAGCGTCTTGAAGTTAAATTCTTCATGAAAAGAAGTGTGCAAGCGTGGACTATTAACACACTTCCAGACTCGTATAACAAAACGTGGGAGCACTTTCTTGTTTACCAATTTTTAGCTGCATCATTTGAGCATAAACAAATAAACAGCATTTGTTTTACTTATCAGTGGCTTAGACAAATATGCAAATTTTAATTGGGGGGAAAAAGACCAGGGTTGCAAAACACCGAATTGTCCACTCAGCTTCTATTTTAACAAAAGCATCACTTTGCGTTGAAGAAGAGATGAGAAAATTAGGTTTTCATTTTAATGAGGTTGAGAGTGCTCTCTGATTAGAATATTGACTATAACATCTCTTAGCAGAATGGCGTTTACTATAGTTTTAAGGAAAGAGTAATAACGTTAAGGGAAATTACATTTGGTAAGCAATGTTTAGTTTGACTCCCATACTTGTCTCTCTGTAGGGCTCTTAAAGGACAGCATGGAAAAAGGAAAGAGAAAAAGGTACAGGTAAGCATTCACAGTGACCGCTCAAATAGAACATGCACACAGATTAATGAAGCGCAGGTAAACGGTTACGCTCAACCTCCTCGTTTCACCTCTCAGATACAGACACACATCACCGTGTCCCCTTGCAAATCCCAGGATGCACAAGTAAATGCCATAAAATTGTGCTTTAAAGCCCCCTGAATGTCTGGAGGGCGCAGAAATGGCTTCTGTCTCCATTAGTGATGCACTCCGCTCTGAACGCGGTTCCTCGATTAGACTTATATTCGGTAAGAGAGTTATTGATCGGGCTAAAGAGGAACATTAAAAGTGGCCTGGGATCTATTCGTACTTTCGGGGCTTTTATTGATATTAGATTTCAAGGTTGCTACAATGTTGTCAACGTAGATGAAGAGGTTTTTATCCAGCGCTCTGCCCTCCCCACTGACGTTGTCCAGAAACGCATCTGTCTCTCTGTCTCTAGAGCCTTCTGAATTCTTTCAGATCTATGCGTTAGTGGAGGTGGCAGTAACAGGTGGTGATGGGGAGAAAGCAGATCACCAGTGCAACAGACAGACAGGGCGAGACGGAGTGAGACAGCTGCATGCAGAGATGCGTTACTGCTAATAGGGGCCTCCTGCCCTCCTGCGGGCATCTCAGCGTGAGAGCACGGCAGATTCATGTTCTAAAAGAATGCGATAGGCGTATGAATTGAAAAAACGAAAAAAACAGACCTTTTTTTCCATGCAGCTCTGAAAAAGCGTGCTCTGTTGAGGCACATCAGTGCTGTGACATGCCACAAAAAAACTTCTAGCATCTGTCCAAACCCTTCTGCATGAGACTCATGAGAGTGACATGTCTTCATAAGAGTGGACGTATAACGAGTGCATGTATAGTGCATGTAAGTGTCATTATACCATGCTCGTCCTGAAATGCCAGGCAATAATGCATGTATTAAAGCCTGCAGTCGCATTGCTGTTATGCCATGCTCATCCTAAAATGCCATGGCTCCTGCAAGCATTGCAGCATGAGTGCATGGTAGTCTGTCCTGACACTCTAGATGTGTGATGTCTGAGTATTTGCATGCCAGGAACGCATTCAGCTGCATGAACATGCCAAAAAAAAAGTGTGTAGCATCGCTGTCGCGTTAGATTGGCACATCTTCAGAAGAGTAGACTATTTTGTCTTATGATTCGGCACCAATGCATTTATAAAGTTTGCAGTTGCGTTTCTGGCTAGATGAAAATGTCCTTATCCCATGTTTGTACCATGTTTGTACCAGGTCTCTTGAGGTCAATGCAGCAGATTTTTGGTCTGCAGATGTACTGTAATGAAGTCTTACTGAGTGTTTCACATGCAAGAGGCACATTAATTGTTTTGAGTTGCATCAAGTCCAGTGTGACTGTCCAAACCCATCTGCACCAGACACATTAGTGTGGCGTGACTTCAAAGGAACGGGTGATTTGATTTTATTCTGCAATTAGGCACTAATGCATATAAAGATTGAGTCGCATTTCTGTCATGCCGCTAAATGTAGCCATCAGTTATTATAATTATTGCAGCTCTATGAACTCATTTTTCATTGAGAATTACGTGTTTGTTTGGACCAGACTGTACCAGACAAAAGACAAAGATGACCGCAGACACGTTCAGCATGAAGCCACATAGCAGAGCCCTTTTCCTCAACTCACACACACACACACACACACACACACACGCACACACACACACGCACACAGTGCACTGGAAGGCAAAGCAAGAATGCAGCACACCTTGAGCGTTGTACATGCTGAGGGTAGGGTTGTTATAGACGGCTGATTCGCCCAGTAAGGTGTTATAGGGGTTGTTAGAGGCGTGAGCGCGCAGCAGAGAGTTTGGGATGAGGTGATTGGCCATGGCACCTGATACAGCCGCACAGATGGAGAGAAGAACACACAAAGAAGATCAAACAAATGCAGCAACAATGTTAGCATCGTTATCATACAAACATCTCATCAGCAGCCACAGAAAAAAGAGCAAGAGCATTCAACCAATGTTAGCATTCTTATCTCATCAGAGACTCTGACGGTCTATGCGAGTGAGTGTGGCAGTGCATTTTGGAAGAACATTATCTCTTTTACAAAGACCAACAATTTTGATGACTCATTCTGCACCTAGGGCATATATTTTTTTCCCCAATCAAATGCTTTCTAGAATGTATGGAAGCCCATTTCCACTAAATAAGAAATAAAAATACAATGCTGTATTAAATCATAATTACGACATAAATCACAATGATGAGATACTAAGTCACGATGAGCTAAAAGTCTAGTATTATTGTAGTAAAAAGTAATAAATCTCATACTTTTGACTTCTTAATTTAGACTTTATCTCATAAGTATTACTTTTCATAATTATGACCATTTTATACTTTTGATTTTTATGTAATAACTGATTTTTTTTCTCACAATTTCTATTTTCTGTCATAATCTCACAAAGGTTTTTATCACACAATGACTTATCTCATAAATTTGAATTATCATAGTTTAGACTATCTCATTATGACAGTAATTATGACAGTATCTCATAATTTGGACTTCGTCAATTTAGATTTTTACATAATAACTGACTTTTTATCTCACAATGTATATGTTCTGTCATAATCTTATAACTATTTTATTGCATAATTATAACTTATCTCATAACTTCAACATTTTGTAATAATATTTAGTTTATCTCTTATGTCTTATCTCATAATTTTGACTCGTCAATTTAGTCTATGTAATAACTGATTTTTATCTCACAATTTCTATTTTCTGTCATAATCGCACAAAGGTTTTTATCACATAATGACTTATCTCATAAATTTTAATTCTCATAGTTCTCATTGTATATCTCACAATGTATATGTTCTGTCACAATCTTATAACTCTTTTTTATTGCATAATTATAACTTATCTCATAATTTCAACCTTTTGTCGTAATATTAAGTTTATCTCTTAATTATGTATTATCTCATAATTTAGTCTTTATGTAATAACTGTGTTTATCTCACAATTTTTATGTTCTGTCAGTCTCCTAATCACATAATTACGATTATCTCATAATGATGTCTTTTTAAAAAAAATATTTGGCACAAAAAGGCTTCCATACAAATGAGAATGTTCCTCCCCCTAATCACCTACTGTACATCTGACTAGCGATAGCATGCAAATCATGTTTCAAATATGTGATGTAAACAAAACATCTATTTACCAACCATTACATCTACAACCACTATATGTGTCCATTCGTAGACTTTGTGTATTATGTTTGTATATTTATTGTTTTATATAGTGTATATACTGTACATAAAAGTATACTGTTATTTGTTAAAAGTGTCAGTTGTATTCTGCACTGTCTGGAGCACGCTCCCAAGCTTTTCACTCACCACGGCAAAAGTGCTGTTGGTGATGTGACAATAAAAGTGATTTGATTTGAAAAGGCTAGTGGTTATTTAAAAAGGGACAAACCCTTTGTGTTCTGCTCAAACGTCCCTCAATAACACAGGAAAAAAAACTCTGCTCATCAAAACATTCCACAGAGTGTCTGATATCCGCAACAGTGGTGATAAATAGGGATGAATTTGTTAACATGCGAGCGTGCTTTAGCATTCTGACAGTTCTATCTCTCCAAGAAGTTGTCTTGAAAATTCATCCCTTTTAAAGCACCGCTTTTGTAACAGATTCTCCTCCATGTTCTTCACTTTCAAGACAATTACTGCTGGATTGAAATTGCCTGCTGTGAGCAGTGTATCTATTATTACGCAGAATCTCTCGACAGGCCCACACAGAATCTGTGCTCACCCGTTTCCACAAAATTGGATTTTCACAAAGTTTTACACCTTGCGTTTGTTTATTACATTTTTTAGTTAATTTAATTATGCTTTCAGTTATCAATAAGAATATAATGCTTTCAGTTCAGCTCCAGTTTTTTGACTTTGCAATAACAGGACTTGTTATAGCCCATTTTTGTTATATATCTGCCCATTTAACACAAGTAAACAAGTCTGGATGTGATCCTAACCTAAAGGACTAGTCATTCAGACGACCTACCAACTAGTCACTAATAAAAAAAAAAAATTGTATAATCACTTTCTGTTTGATTCTCCAATGAAGACCGTGTCCAATATGAGCTCATTTATTCAACAGAATTTTCATCGTGATTATCAGCGTAGGCACGTTTATTATGCTGTCGGCTAATTACACACCTCTGAAAATCATATGC